CTCCCTATAGCAACTGACTCCAAAACCTTTCTTGCTATGCCCTGTTCTCTAGCACCTAAGCAAAAAGCAGGGAGAGTATTTCTAAGCAGGTTTGGAATGTCTGGGTTGGAAATGAGGGACTGATTTATATCTACTGTACTTCAATTTTGATGATTTTATTTCAATTCTTTTTTGGTTATACTTTTTCCTTGAGCCAAACACATACATACACATTTATGTATGTATGTATGTGTATAATTCACACACATGCATTTATTATTATTATCTTTTTGAAAGTCGTTCAGTTGTATCTGACTCTTTGTGACCCCATGGACTGCAGCCCACCAGGCTCCTCTGTCCATGGAATTCTACAGGCCAGATTACTGGAGTGGATAGCCATTCCCTTCTCCAGGGGATATTCCCAACCCAGGGATCAAACCCAGGTCTCCTGCAATGCAGGCAGATTCTTAACCTTGTGAGCCACCGGGGAAGGCCACACACAAGCATGCTGATATGTATAAATGATTCTGATGTCTTAAGGAGGCTGTGGGATGATTCAGGACAGAAGTTTCTAAGCTCTTTGAAAGTATGGATCCTTATGTACTGCTCTTTAGGAATTACAACTCACTGATGGTTCTCCAAGGCTGGTTTACTACAAACACAGGATAAAAAGCAAAATCCGCCTCCCTCCCCCAGATTAGGGCCCAAATGGACTAACTCAGTGGGTTCAATCCTTCTTATTCCTCACAGGCCTCCATGTTACTTCTACAGCTGTTCTGTGAGGTATGGGTGCAGCAATGTCTAATATTACAGAGATTTGCTGATGAGGGATAAGCTACACGTCACTGGGAGAATGTCAAACAGGCATCAGAGTGAGAAGCCCTGTTGCAGGAGATCTATTTGCTACTAATTTTCTTTCCAAGTTTCCACTTTCTGCTAGGCTTCACTCTGGGGCAAGTCCTGGTCCTGTCTTCAGGTCTGCCCCCATGGCTAAGACCTGTCAACTGCCTCCACTATTCACGCATCCTGGGCTGTGGTACCCGGACTCACTAATGAAGTCATAATTCACATGACCTGCAGCAGTCCCACGACTGGAGCACACGGGTGTGCACATCCCTTCCACCCCAGGAAAGCGGCTTTCCTGCATGCGCACATGAGATTTTAGTAGAGGTGACGGTTATTGATGACAAATTTCCCTAGCGGTTTCGGACATTTGTCCTTGTCCCGATAGAAAACCCATTCCTGAGACTGAAGTCTAATATTCTGCAGGCCTCCACCTTTGCCCAAAGGGTGCCTGGGAAGGTGTGAGGGACACGGACACCTATGCGTCCTCCGCCTACTCAAACTACAGCATTCCTGCCGAGCATTCCTTAGTGTTCTGCCTGCTATTCTCAGAAGGAGTGTAAATTCTGGTATTCAGGGTATTTGTGTGTGTGTGTGGTAAAATACACACAACATAACATTTACCACTTAAATCATTTTTTAAGAGCACAGTTCAGCGGCATTGAGTTGTTGTTCTAGTTGCTGAGTCACATCTGACTCTGTGGGACCCCATGGACTGTAGCCTGCCAGGCTCCTCTGTCCATGGGATTGTCCAGGCAGGAATACTGGAGCAGGTTGCCATTTCCTTCTGCAAGGGATCTTCCCAAGGGATCGAGCTCACAGGTTCTGTGTCTCCTGCATTGGCAAGCAGGTTCTTCACCACTAAGCCACCTGGGAAGCCGTTCAAATCACTGTGCAGCCGTGACCACCATCCATCTCCAGAATTCTTTCATCTTCCCAAAGTGAAACTCTGTACCCGGTAACACTAGCTTCTCTCTCCCCTCTATTCTCAGGCCCTGGAAATCAGCCTTCTACACTTTCAGTGGCTTTGACTAGTCTGGGCACATCACGTAAGTGGGATCATACGGTATCTGTCATTCTGTGTCTCGCTCATTCCACTTGGTATCACATGTTTCATCCATGTTGGAACATGTGCCAGAATTCCATATTTTTAAGACTAAATAATATTCTCTTGTATGTGTATTCCACATTTTCTTCATTCGTGGTTGAATGAGTTGCCTCCACCTTTGGGCTATTGGGAATAATGATGTATGAACATGGATGCACAAGTATCTGTTGAAGGCTCGGTTTTCACTACTCTTAAGTATACACCCAGGAGAGGAACTGCAGAATCATACGGTCCAGGTGGCACAGTGGTAAGAATCCACCTCCCAGTGTAGGAGATGCAGGAGACATGGGTTCAGTCCCTGGGTCGGGAAGATCCCCTGGAGGAGGAAATGGCAACCCACTCCAGTATTCCTGGCTGGAGAACTCCACGGGCAGAGAAGCCTGGTGGGCTGCAGTCCACAGGGTTGCAGAGAGTTGGGCACGACTGAAGCGACAGCCACACATGGTCATTCTACGTTTAATTTTTTCAGGAATCATCATGCTGTCTAGTGTTCAGTTTTTCATATTAATAAATGTTTTAGTGCAGTTTTAGGTTGATGGCAAAACTGAAAGGAAAGCACCATGGGGTCCCATGTACTCCTTGTCCCCAAATGCACAGTATTTATTTTTCAAACTTCACTTTTGAATTTATTTTTTAACCCAGGTCCATGGCAGTGAAAGTGCCAAGTCCTAAACACTACACCACCAGGGAATTGCCAAGACCTTATTATTATTATTTTTACTCTACTTATTGGCCACGCCACATGGCATGAGGGATTTTATTTCCCTGACCAGGGACTGAACCCACGTCCCGTGCCTTGACAGCATGGAGTCTAATCACTGGACCACCAGGGGAGCCCCATGACTCTCACAGAGGTGCTCCGGGCACCGGGTGTGTTGGCTGCTTCACCCAAGGCTGCAGGGAGGGGGCCAGGAAGTGAGCACCAGGGCCAGCAGGAGTCTCTGCTCCAAGTCACCCCGGGGGTCCCAGCCGCCTGCTACCTGCCCTGGCTTCCTTGCAGTTATTAAACTGGCACCCAAGGTCATCCACCAGGGAAACCTCAAGTGTAAACGTGGGCACTCACAGATGCCAGCGCAGGAAAGCAGGAGGGAGATGAAGGAACACTGGATCCAACCCATTTCTTCTACTTCATGGTGAACACACTTCATAGACTGAAACTTCCCAGAATGCGGTGCAGAATAACCAATTAATGCTTGACAGAGACGTTATCATTTGTAAGGGCAGAGTGATCAGAGGTAATTACCTCGCTCACAACTCTGCCAGCCCGATCACCAGCCCTGTTACCCTCTGGGCAGCTCCCAGAAGACAATTCTGAATTAATTCCTTCTACAACTCTTTCATCACCTCTTGCTCTTTTGGTCTTATTTTTCTGACTTTGTGCTTTTTATTTTAAATGCATGCACTTAAATCTATCTGCAGGATGTGGGGTTCTGTTAACATCTAGGGAGAAGGTAATGCTCATAACATATCTGCTTGGGAATTGCTTTATTAAAAGTGACTATTCCCAAGCAACTCCAAATATTCATCTTGTACAGGGACCCTCTAATTTTACAGGCGGCCTTGGCTACTTCTTTCTATGTGATTCTTGGAGCCCTTCCTTTCTTCCTTCTTTCCTTCCTTCCATTATTTTAATCCTTTCTGATAATCAATTTCTTTGTCTGTAAAATGAAAGCAATGCCAAATCATGCCAAACATTCTCGTGCTGTTCAATCACTTTATTTTTAAAAAGTGACTACTTTCAATTAAAAAAAGTTTTGTTTTTTTTCAAAGTGACTGTTCTCCATTTCAGAGAGTTATAATAAAAGAACTGTAAGCCCTAATTGCTGCTTTGAATGATAACATAAACCATATCAAGTAAAATGTTATAAACCACCATGCTTATCCACAGATTCAAAACGCCCATAAATTTCTCAAACATTTCCTAGACAGCATCACTCAGGCTATTTTCACACGCACACTGATTCAATGAAACAAAAGACAACATGCTGTGAGAACTCCTACACGGAAAGCTTAGAAACATACAAAATTCATACAGGTTCACAGGTACATGTGTACATTAGCATGTATGCTCCCATATATCCAAGTGCACAGTTATTGAGTCAATCTCTTCTACTTTATTCTATGAACACGGACTAAATTGTTCTTGCCTTCAGCAGAGAGGTGACTGGCTTGTCCCAAAGCTAACACAGAAACAAAACACTGGTTTTGCTGGCTTAGACTTTTAATTAGAAGTTCACCTTCCTTCACATATGCCTTTTGCAAATCAAGTCACATTTAACAGTATGAGGGGAAGGATCATACTGGGATGATTCACTTTGAAAGTGGACAATATATTTTCTAGCCCAGGAGAAAAAAGATTTTCCCTTTGGAGTATGTCTCAAAGCATGATGAGGACCCATGGGAAAAGGTGGTGGCCATCACCACAGCCTGCTAACAGCACTGTCAGTCACCCCTGTTGAAAGGCAAGGGCAGAGAATGGCTGGTTCCCGTGCCTCTGGAGTTGAGCTGGCACAGAATAATGGCATCTACTTGGATGGACTTCCAAAGGTGACAGTGCTGAGAAGGCCCTAAAAGTCTCTTTCCTGAGAGTTGAGTTCATGTATTAAGTACAGCACTAATATCTTCATTTTAGTTTCATACATGTTTCTACCTTCATCATTCCTCTTATCACTCACACTTGAGTTAAAGCAGTGATTCTCAAAGTGGGGTCCCTGGACCAGCCTCATTGGCATCACTTGGAAGTTTGTTAGTAAAGTAAATTCTTAGAGGCCCCTAGATCTCCTGAATCCAAGAGTCTGGGTATGTGCTTCAGCAAGCTGGACTTTCACAAGCCCTCCAGGCGATTCTGAAGCATGATAGTGGTTAAGATCCACCGAGTTAGGGAACCACCCAAAGGCAGAGTCTAACCCCTGTTCCCTTCCCCAAGGATAATTCTCAAGACACCTTGTTATTAGAAGGTGTTGTTCTGATAACACCTTGTTATTAGAAGGTGTTGTTCTGATAACACCTTGTTATCAGAAAATTCTTGGCCTTGTGTGGTTGGAGGAAAGAAACCTTAGTCAAAACTTACATGTAATTTTTCCAGGTCCCGTGCTGGCTTCGAGTCTTAGGATGCAGGGAACTGGGCGAAGGGTGAGAAGAGAAGGCTACAGCAATCCATTCAGACATGGACCCCAAAACCTTGTGGGGCCGCCTTGCGCCAGGTCAGCGGGCATCCACCTGATCGGGGAGGAAGACTGTCCGTTAGCAGAGGAAACCTTGCATGTTAACATCGTCCCCTCGCTCCTGCAATCCTGCTACACCCCATCCTCCGATTTCATGACCTCTAGCTTCCTGTGCCTCAGGACCGGTCCAGCTAAACAGGACTGGATAAAACAATGCAGGTATCAATGCCAGGGCTCACCACGGGTGAAACGCACGCCTCACGGGGTGCCCTTCTGAACCCCAAAGCAGCTTGGATATACCCAGTCAGCTGTCTCTGTATTTCATCTCCTGAATGTTTTATCTCACCACATCAGAACACTTTGGTTCAAAAGACACACCTGGCCGTATTAGCAAGAAGATACAGGAAACAATGGAGAAGGAAACGGCAGGCCACTCCAGGATTCCTGCCTGGGAAATCCTGTGAACAGAGGGGCCTGGCAGGCCACAGTCCATGGGGTCACAAAGAGTCAGACACGACCGAGCGACCAAACAACAACAGAAAGAGTTGTGATAAATTTGAAGCAAGTGATAAATCTGTGGATTCCAACTGAAATGAGATGATCCTCTGATACCTCAAATATGTTTTCTTAGAAAATAATAGTCCTTATTTTTTCCTGAGGATAAATTAATACATGCTTATTCTAGAACACCTGAAAATTTTATGGAAAAGAATCAAGAAAAAATAAACATCAACTGCAACCTTGACACTGATAAGTCACTCATGATATTTTGTTGTATAGGCTCATGACCCCTTAAATGAAACTCCTGGGCCAGATACACTTCAGAGTTCAGAACTGCTTGGTGTGAGAGAGCATTATGATGCTCAGTTACCACTTACTGTACGATGCCCCATCAGAATCTGAAGCAGCACCCTGTAATCACACATATCAGATAGCTTTGCAGCAAAGTAGATGCATATTCTTATTTGGTCAGATAAAACAGAGCTTCACATTAGTTAAGGTCAGATTTTTCTACCAAACAAGTCACCAAGAGACGTTTGTGATGTTTGAAGCAAATGCATTCAGAACTGGGGATAAGGGATTGTGGACCGGTATTCTTTTCAGATATACAAAACCAGAGCTTAGTTTCTCCTTTTTAATTCAATAGTATATGAACGTGAGCACTTCCTCAAGTCATTAAAAATTCTTCAGAAACATGCTTTTCAATGTCTGTGTAGAAAAGTGTTTTATTTCATTATTTCTCTCACTTGGGGAATGACATATTGTTTTCTTTTCTTTTGTTATCGCAAATGACACTTTGACAGATGTATCTGAGTATCAAATTGCCTGAATGTCTGTGTATTTTCCCAGGTAGATTCCTAGAAAAAGAATTGTGGGGTCAAGTGGAGCGAGCTTTGAGGGTCCTGGAGACTGTTCAGAAAAGCTGCATCAACTCACACTCCTGCCACAGCAGGAGTTTTGGCTCGTTTGTTTAGGCACCCACTTTACCGAAGGCACAGGAGAAACGCACTTGCCCGTCACACACCTTCACAGAGCTCTCATCAGGGACAACCACACTTAGACTCTACTTTCTTTCTTACGCAGATGATAATCAGCAGCTCATTGTTTTTCACATAATAAAGAGGGAAATGGGAGTAAGGACAGTTTTCCATCAAGTAGCCCTCATTAGACGGGACTGAGCTGGATCTGGACAAGGGAGGGATTGCCCGCCTTCCGTGGAGGGAGTATGGAAGTCATCGACACATCATCGTGAAAAAAACCACAATCATTTTTCTTTGTGCACTGATAAATTCTGTTTCTGGAAGACCAAAGCCTTGCATTTCCCGTGCATTTGGTATTTTCCTATTTCTTGGACATCTGACTGCTCTTCAGAATGGCCATCAGGGAGCAGAAAGAGAAGTGAAGACAAAATTAAATCAGACAAGCCAGTAATCACGGCTAACCCTCCCAAGTACTCACGATGTGTCAACTCTAGTGCTGAGTGCCTTACATGCTTTATCTCATGTAATGCCGAGTGCACTGGTACAGAAACTGGTGATGGTGAAGTTCCAAAGTATGTGCTTGCTCATCAATCCCCCTTCTCCCCTAGTAAGTCTGGAGGAATTAAAGGGTTGCAATTTCAAAGATCAAGCCTAATGTCTTGAATGACTCCAAGATAATCCAAAGACTCCGTGACTCCTAGTCAAGCTATCAATCCAAATGTTACCCTTAGACATTTTTCTGTCAACACCTCCAATACTATCTGTAGGAAGCAGTGAAAATAGTATAAAATACAAGCAGAGTCCAAATAACTGTAAACACGTCCAAGGTTTTATATGGACAGAAGGAAGGCTGTATCTCAGGACAGCTGAGAGTTGAGAGTCTGTTCACACAGAGAAGAATGAAGACACACACATACACTTTAAAAAACCACCAAACCTACAAACATATTCTTCCCAAGTGAGACTGCAAGTTTAGTAACGCTAAATCAGAGTTCGAAACCCCAAGTTCCTTTCCATGTATAGCATTTTCTAATAAATTTTCTTTCTCTCTGCCCTTTATGTATTTAACCTTGCAGGATAATTGACGGAGTGTGTGTGTGCACTCAGTCGCTCAGTCACGTCTGCCTCTTTGCGACCCCGTGGACTATACAGTCTGCCAGGCTCCTCTGTCCACGGAGTCTTCCAGGCAAGAATACTGGAGCGAGTTGCCATTTACTACTACAATTGATGTAGAGGAGGCCACAATTTTCACACACTGATACCAGAAAATGGAAGAGAGATTTTTTTGTTACATGGAATGAAATAACACCCACTCTTGCCCTCGTCTAGAAACTCAGTTTCTGCATAGTTTAGTATACACTATATAATGCCTGCAGTTCATAGAGAGAAAAAGAGGGGGGTATAAATTTAATTTGTTTTAGGAGTGAGTTAAATTTATCTCAACAATCTTCTCAAAAACTAAGGGGTGCTTCCATCAAATCTATCAAGAGACCCAAGATGTATCAAGAAGTGGACCGCTTACTCCACTGAAGCTTTTCTTTATACTTAAAATAGCATTCTCCTGATAATAAGGTGTCAAGTGGGTAGAAGGACTTCTAAGTGATTTTTTTCTTTGTCACAATAGGGTATACGATTAATTTTCTAAGTACACCAGGCCTATAGGATGAGAAAAATAAGATGATGATAAAAGATTGAAGGCAAGAGGAGAAGGGGATGACAGAGGATGAGATGGTTGGATGGCATCACCAACTCGATGGACATGAGTTTCAGCAAGCTCCAGGAGTGATTTTTTTCTTTGTCACAATAGGGTATACGATTAATTTTCTAAGTACACCAGGCCTATAGGATGAGAAAAATAAGATGATGATAAAAGATTGAAGGCAAGAGGAGAAGGGGATGACAGAGGATGAGATGGTTGGATGGCATCACCAACTCGATGGACATGAGTTTCAGCAAGTTCCAGGAGTTGGTGATGGACAGGGAAGCCTTGTGTGCTGCAGTCCATGGGGTCGCAAAGAGTCGGACACGACTGAATTGAACTGAGAGGAGATGACCACTCACCGTCAAAGAACATACTTTGTTTTTTCCAAAGGGCCTAATTACTTCGGAGGGAAAGAGAATAATAAAAAAAAAAAGCCACCATTAAGTAACAGAAATGATTACTAAAAGCTCTTTAGCTACTCAAACTACACAACTGCATTTTTAAAGCTGATTACAAATTTGGATTCTCTCATTTAAAGAATGTACTTCGGAGCAGCTCACGTCTGTTTTAATGCTGAACCAAAGTCTGTGCAACTGGCATATTATCAAAGTAAAAAAAAAAAGTTGCTTGAATAAAATTACACTTTCAATGTCACTGAATATTGAACGAAAAAATACCACAAGCTTAAAAACTACTAATGCCATGTGGTTCTGTTATCGTACATTTACGAGAGTTTATGGTTTCCTAAGCCCTAAGAGACTTAAGAGGGTTGCCACCCAGAGGAGCTTTGCTATTAAGGGCAGGTCATTCATCGCCTCTGGGCCCAATGCCTTTCACCGGTCCCTGTGACGATGGAATGAGACGGCAGACAAGAGAGTTTTCGCAAACTCCTAACACATACATAAAATGTTGGGTATCACTGTTCTTTTTACTAACAACTTTGCAAGGTATAAAGATACTGATCCCCATTTCACAGCTAAGGAAACTGACAACAGGAAGAGACAGCAAAAACAAAACAAATGAACAAAAAACAAACCAACCCCAAATCAGAACAAAAACTGAGTTAGGAAAGTTTTATCTTTGAAATGGCCACAAATCCGCTGAGTAACTCTGGACGTGATTTCCTCAGTAAAATGAGGGAGTTGAATAAAATGCTTTTAAAACTCTTGTTGAGACTAATGGTTCTGTGATCAGGGCCTTGGCCATGGTAGGGATGGGGCACCCTTAAGACTGACTCTTAGGAAGCAGTCTCCCCTTGAGGTCAAGGTCTGCAGTACTGGGATGGGGCTGTGAGCAGCCTCTCACCCCTGGGGATGGGACGGGCATTAGTTCATTTTGCTGGATTAAGGGGAGGCTGGGGACATCCTAGGTGAAAAGTCAGGGCCTCTGGGGCATAGGAAGGAGGTCCTGGAAGAGCTTAAAACAGTAGCTCTGTAGTAGCTGGTAAAATGTTTCACTATTCTAACAACTAGTGTAGACCCCTGGGAATGTCAGTCTGGCAAACAGCCCTATTGCTGCTGGACTCTTAGTTTCAAAGAGATGGCACCCCTGTGGGCTACCCACCTTTCCTGACTGAGTTCCTATAGTACTGGAGGAGAGATCTAAAAGGGCTACTTTTTGCAGTGTGAGGGAACATCAGGGTTACATGGGAATCTCACTTCAGAAGGGCTGGGGCCACTAACTTTGGCCTCTGCTAATGATCTCTACCAGGGCTGTCTAACACAGCTTTCTCTGATGAGGAAAATAGTCAGTATCTGTGGTGTCCAAAGTGGTTCTGCATAGAACTTTCAAGAACTCCATAGAGCTTAAAAGTTCCTAGTGAGACAGAAGAACTGAATTTTAAATTTTAATCAATTTAAATTGATGTACATT